AAAAAAAAGAACACTTCTATTGATATATTTTCTATAAATTATATAATAAAAAGTTGCCAAAATCAAACGAACAAAAACAAGGCAACGCATCAGTCAGACTGCTTACAACAACCTCGATTTGCTGATTCCATCAATAACCTCTGGTCCTGGTACTTCATATTCTTTCAAAACCACGTATAACACGTAGGGTTGCCGTAAGTAGGGTCGCCAAATTTGGTGATTTATGCGAATTTTGGCCTGGTTTAGTTAATACGTAAGTACCCCATATTTTTTAATGTAGTTATTCTAAATATTTAAGATTTCTTTTAAATTATATTCTCTTAAGGAAATATTTATAAACAATTGTAAAATTTCTACTATTATTATGAATCTAAATTATTATTTTGTTTTAGTGATTAGCACTTAAGGCTGTTGTTTCCTAATGATTAAGTATAAACAAACTGCCATTAACAGCATATTTAAAAATCAGGATTCTAAATTTAACAAAACTTTACAAATTATTGTAATTGAACAATATGCAGCTAAAAAATGTTAATATATGCTTTATTTTTTTAAGTAATAAAAGTTAAAAATAAATTATTTATAGTGTCATTTACGACAACTATTGAAATATTTTTCTTAGTTTAAAATGGTATTTTTTTATAGTGTGTTAATAGTGTAAAGTTTGAAAGCTAATATCAAAAAAGTGTCAAACTTATTTTTACAGAGAGAATGATGTGAAGTTTTCATAATATCTTTACTTGCGGTCTCTGAGATCTGTGTGTGGCATGACGTCAAGAGGAGGGAAATCGTAGCTTTAGCTCTAAGAGAGGAATGAACCAGCCTTTCTCTCTCTTTTTCTTTAGCCCTGATTTTTACCAGTGAGTAAAAAGTTTGTTTGCATTTACTTTTAACAGTGTAACATTTTTAGGATATTCTCAGATATGATGAATGTATTATTCAGCTAATTATATTAATTAAAAATGGAGGAAAAATATGTAGCTATTGAAGTTATTCATTTTCTAGCTACCCTAATTATCTAAAGTAGTTTTGGTGTTGTCTATTTTATATATTTAAAGTACTTAAATAACCTAGTTTTGTCTTATTAATGTAGGACACGTTAGTACTTAATACTTTATATATCTAATTCTTTTTCCTAAAACTAATCCACATTGTTAAGAAGTCTTAATTTTGTCCCATTGATTTTAAGAAATCAACTTGATGGCATTTTCAGGATCAATAATTTTCAACAGCTGTTGATCCCTAAACTGTAATATGAGGTTTTAAGCTTTCACAGTAATTGACCCCTTAACCTTGATGTGTAAATTTAAAAAAAAGAAATTTTTTTTTCATTTTTTTATTTTTAGTTTTACATAGAATTTATAAAATTTATTGTTTGATTTTTAAATAGTAATTAAGTATAAAAAATAGATCATTTTTAGTTGTTAGTTCTATAAGTGATTTGTAGTTGTTCATTTACGTCGCACTAGAGCTGCACAATGGGCTTTGGCGACGGTCTGGGAAACATCCCTGAGGATGATCCGAAGACATGCCATCACAATTTTGATCCTCTGCAGAGGGGATTGTGATCATGATAAGTGTCTGTTGTGTTAAGTTCATTGATTTTAGGTTTCATTATACTCATTTATGTAAAATATTGAAAGAAACTACTGATGTTATAATTATGTTCTATTAATTTTCTGTTGCTTATTTAGAAATGATACAATTTATTTTCTTTGATATCATCTCCATTATTTAAATTGCAGTTATAAACTATTTAAAAAATCATTTCAATACTTGATATTTTTCTTTGAATAAAAAAAGTCATTCATTCCTTTTGCTTTGGTTGGAAGAAACGTATTTATTTTTTCTGGTGGGAAGTTTTTCTACTGTGGAAGAAATTTGCCATTCCTGGAAAGAGAGTTCATCTTCTCCTGGAAAGAGAAATGAGATTAATACACTGCAAAAACCGCAAATTTAATTTTTTTTAATTAGAGAAAAATCTTATTCTACATTATTTTAAATTTCTTTTTGTGTAATGTAAGCAGAAAGCAAAAATGAAATTTTTTAAATTTTTTCTTACAGTTAAAAAAAAAATTATTAATTTTAAAACTTTATTGTAAAATTTGTTTGAAATTTACATTTTTCATAAAATGTTTTGCTTCAGTTAAATATTTACCAGTTAAAATTTTTTTAATTTCATTATAAAATTAGTAATAGATTTAAACTTTAGTTGCTCCATTGTTGTCAATTAGATGTCCTTTGTTATATGACTAGGGCCATAAGCCCCTTCCCTCTCTACTCTGCTTTGTTACCCTAACCCTAATTTGATGCAGAAAAAGAAATTTGCTATTCTTATTTCCTACAAAACTTATTCTTCGGAGTTGGGGTTTTCTATATTGTGGTGGCAGTGCTGTCTGTTATCTTAATTTGTTGTATTCCTATTGAATTCCTATGTTGTTGTACTTTAAATGTGTTGAGTTAATTGTTTTATCCAAATGTCCAAACAATATGCTTTTTATAATTGAATGAAATGATATCCATAATCTTTTCCAGTTAAAAATTGAGAATTTTTTATAATCGTAATTTTGCTCATGGTCCTGTTTTCACTTCAATTATCATTATTAATATTACTAAGGTCTTAGGTAAAATTTATTTAGATTTTATGCATAATTATTTTGATTTAAATTTGACAGTATTTTATTTTAAAAAATTTGATTTGAAATCCAAAACAAACTCTTTAAGCTGTACAAATCAGTTTGATAGGGTAAAAACTGCATTTGCTTCATTATCATTCTGATCATTAATTCTAACTGCCAGAAAATTTCTGTATTTGAAACTTTTGTTTTCCACACACTTAACTCTTGTCCTGATCTTTTTTTCTTTCAATTCTGAATATAGCTTCTTCAGCCCATTAGTTTTTGACCTTTGGTAACTTGATTCATCCCTTGCTAAACTTACCAGACCCAAATGTTCCTCTATCAATCCTCAAAGTGAATTTTTTATTTTATTGTTTTCCTCTTCCATTTGCTGTAAAATTTTAAATATTCTGTCCCATTTTGGATTTAATATTATTTCAGGTTTATCCATAAAATTTAATTTTTGAATTTAATTTGATCAGTATTTAAAATTGTTGGAGCATTCACCACATACTTTGACAACACACTACATCAGACAAATTGAACAAGTTTTAAAACTCACATTAAGGGAAGCTGATAGGTATGTGCCTGTTATTAAGAATTCTATTTATTAGGCCGGGATAGCCTGGTTGTTAGGGCTCTGAGCCCATGTCCAAGAGGTTGTGGGTTCAATCCCTGCCGGTCTAAGACTCCTCGAATAGTAAATTGTGACTGATGCACATTAAATCTGCCGAATCTCCTGGATCATACCAGGATACTGATCCAGGAGTTTCCTTGTCTTCTGGATTGGTTCAAAATTACAAGGCTACGGAGTGGAACATTAGTAGTCATAAACCCAAAATTGGGTCGGCTGTTTAACGACGGTTATAATGATATAATATTATCTATTACTGGACATTGTTAGGACCTTGGGCATAAATTTAATTCCGATACTGCTGAAATTCTTTCCACCCTTGTCACAACAGCTCATTTTGATGACATGGAATTTTGTTTCATTCATATGAATGCCGATTTCTGTTTTAAAAGACACAAGTTCCATTCAACTACCCCTGAGTGTCTTAAAATAAAACCTACCCTTATTTGCTTTTGGTTACTGCACATTCTCATGGTTTGTTTCATTTTCTATTTTTACATGGGCGGCTTTTTGCTTTCTTCTTCAAATCTGTTTTGTTTGTTTTATTCATGGTGAGTCTTGAGAATTGGAGACTATTTTTGAGTGCTCAAAATACACTGACTTTTTCCACCTTTATAATTTATGAAGCAAATGAAGTATTTACATTATTAATTTTATATGCAATCTGCTATTAATTTAAATGTTATTATTTTTCTGAATCAAACCTTAAATGAATGGATCAACATTTTTGAAAATAATACTTACGGACATACATTTTCAGAGATGCCAACTGCTCCGGACAGGCCAAAATAATTAAAAGAACGGTAAATAACTTAGTAAATTTTACAAATATTTGACTGTTTTTACTTGCTTTTAAGAAGGTATAGCATGACATTAATACTATAAAGTGGTGAATTATGTAAGCCTACGAATTATTTAGAAATAGTGGTGGNGCCAAAATAATTAAAAGAACGGTAAATAACTACTTAGTAAATTTTACAAATATTTGACTATTTTTACTTGCTTTTAAGAAGGTATAGCATGACATTAATACTATAAAGTGGTGAATTATGTAAGCCTTCGAATTATTTAGAAATAGTGGTGGATAAAAATCCACTAAATTGAATTTATTAAACCAAGAATCACAATTGATAAAATACCACTTTAAAATATATATCTGCTGTCCGGAGCAAGTTGGCATCTCTGCATTTTTAAAAGTAACTGAGTAATTGAAGTGCATAATGTTTAGAAATTTCCTTGTAATTTTGTTGTTTCCTCAATCTTTTATTTTTTGGTAGAGTCTTAAGTGCAGTAAAAATAATTTATATTTCTTCAGTAGTTTTTTTCAATTGTGTGTGTAGGGAAGTTACCTGAAATTTTTAATGTTTAAAAATCATTTATCTTTTGGAGTACTTAAATATTTTCAATTTCACTCAAGGTAGATTTTTTGCCTTTTTTTTTTTTAAGTTTGAAAAAATGTAGAACTGTTTTCTAGGAATTCTATGAAAGTCTCTTTCATAATTTGTAGTAGTAAGTTTCCAGTTTAATTTGCCTAAATCCACGCTAAAGTCAGGACTTTCAGCAAAATGTAAACGAAATAGATGTGCTCTGTGTCCTAAATTTTTTTTATAAGTGCTACAAATGCAGGAAGTTTTTGAGAAAACTTAAAAACTAATTTATTATTTTGTACTTTGATTGTGAACGGTGTGTTGAAAGCATTTGTAATTTTTTTAACTTGTTTTCTGTTACTTTAAATCTTTTTAATATTATGGAAATAGCATTTTGCCTGTTCTTATGAATTTCATTAGTATTACAGTTGTTTTGTATCCCCCTCCCCTGTTTCCTAGCTTTAATGCTGCTGATACTTATGGGTCAACTTAATGGTCATACTCATGTATAATGCTGATACTTATGGGTCAAAACTTAAAATGAGGTCAACATGACCCCATTTAGTTTTAGTACTTCAAGGGTTAATAAATACTTTTTATTACAAAAATCTGTTGTTGTTGTTTCTAATCCCCAAGAGGTCTATCCCAATTAGACCAATTCCATAAGTCCAAAAATGTCCAGGAAGTCAAAAGCTAAAATCTAATTAATATTATCAGGAAATGAATTATTTAGGGGCCAAATAATTTTTATTTTGCCAGAAATGATTATTTCAAGTATTAGTGCTCTCAGCACTGTAGAAAATCCTTATGCCAAAGACAGTTTTGCTCTTAAAACCATTTCTAGGTGAATTATACTGGATTATTAATGATTCGAATACTTATTAAAATAAAATTGACTGTAGGAATGTTTGATTTTCTAGTATGAAACATGAATTTCAGTATTTCAATCTCATGACAGTGTAACTAGTAAATATTTCTTAATGAATTCCTTTTTTAGTTTAATTGATGTTATGTTGAAAATATTTGCAATGTTGAAAATATTTGCAATATTGTGTTGATACCTTATTTTATGTAAGACGTATGACACTGCTATCAGTTTTTCTAATTCAAATTCCATTATATTTTTGTCTTGTGTATTTTTTATTTGCATGATAAATAACAGGCAACTTCATATTAATTTAACTTGTTGTCATCATTCAATTCCTCAGTTCTCTTAGCATTGCAACAAAAATTATCATGGTTTTAATTAACTTGTAACAAAATTTCCCATTATTTTGTGTTTTAGTTGTATAATCTTCTAAGCCAATCTGTAGTCAAATCAAAAATTCCTTAGCTACTTCTTCCCAATGATGTCAAAACAGTCTAATATAATGGAAAAAAAAATAATTTTGTTGCCTATGAGGTCAAGAAATCAAATTTAGGAAGAAGACTTAAAAATAATATTTTATCACTCACGAACTATTCATCCATATCTTGTATTCTTTAAAATGAAGCAAAAAATTAAACTTTAAAGACTGTTAAATAAATTAATGAAAAATAATTATCAATTATTTTTGACACGAAAGTTATCTTTGGATAAACGAATTTCATAGCTTTTGCATTAAAAGGGTTGACTGCTCTCATGCCTAAATGATTGGAGCCATATATTCCAGACTGCAGCTACTCCCTATAATTTGAGAGTCAGACATTCAAATCAATCAGAGAAAGTGGGTTTTTGTGTCTGATTTTGAAACTTAATATAATGTCTGCTTTAGTTAGGATGGGCCCTCACATGTTTTGATAGTCTGTACCTTTTAGATAAAGTCTTAGTAGGAGAAAATCCACTCATTAGATTAAAAATTATTCAGAGTGTTTTTTCCTTCGAGCACTACTGTACATTATATAACACACAAAGTTACTGAAAATTTAATAGTCAAGCTCCGAAATTTATCATCCAAAGTGTTTATTTATGTTAATCTTTCTTCTCTGGTAAGTTCAGGTTTCGGGATTCATGTCACATTGCAAAAACAAATATTAAATTATTGGAACCGCTATTGGAATATTGGATGGAATTTTTTGTAACGTGTAGCTTTTAAACTTTTTTCAAAACTAATTTGTTTTTATTGCAACAGTTTACTTTTTTTAAGCTATGTACATTGCTGCTTACTCATCAGGTTTTAAAGTTTACGTTAGTGGCATAAACATGATGGCTCAGTGGTTAAGGCACAGATTTGTCACTGGGATTTGATTCTCCATTATCACTTGAAACTCATCCAGCTTCAGATCGCTGGGTAGCAGCAGCTTGTCTCGGAAGTAAAGCGGTCTGTGAGCAATACTGACCATATTGCCACTTTCATACAAGGCTCCTACGGATCAGAGAAAACCTGACATTTTATTTTAACTTTAAAAACCAGAGAATAGTCAGGGAAGATAGCAATTTTTTTACAAAAAACCTAGAAAATCGTATATTATACCTGTAAAACAACCAGTCTTTGAATTGTTAGTAACAGTAATCGAGATTTAAAGTTAAATAAATTATCTATTATAATCATTTTATAAAATTGCACTTTTTAAAGAAACGTTTCCATGTTTTCATTCTTTAAATATGTTATTGCTCACAAGATTTAAAATTTGACATTTCAAATAAGAAATTCTGATGAAAAATTGCATGGTATACATAAAATATGGTTTGGATTTCAATTGAAATTTACCCAATATGCTTGGAAAAGTAAAGGAATTTTTTTTTCTGAAATTGAGTGGGAACCCTGTTCATTCCATTAGTCATGAAATAGTGGAGCCTTAACCCCCACGATCTCTTTGGACTTCATTCTATATTTTGAATTCTGAATTTTTTCTGCAAATAAAAAATAATATATCAATATAGATAAAAAATAATGTATCAATATTAATACATATTTTTGATTAAAATTAAATGTTCATTGTCCTGTGCTATATGTTAAGGTCGATTACTTTTTTTTTGTAGGTTAAGCATTAATTAAAAGTAGCAGGAAGAGTAATCTTTTCATCATTGTACTGTCTATGAAATCTGAATGGAAAGGAAGAAAAAATCTGCGAATGCACTGTAAAACCAGTTGGTCAATGAGCTTTAGGAATACAGTGGTTTGTTAAACTAATTAACTTTGTTTAAGACACTCTTGCCTTGTTTCCACTAGCAGGTTTAAGAAATTTTAAGATTTCTTAAACCTGCAAGGTATTAGTCTTAAAATTTTCTTCATGTTAAGTATAATTTTCGAAATTTTCTCTTTTTTACGTTATGTTATGTTTATCTCTTTGGTACTTCCTTTTTTATTAAATATATGTTACTTTCTGCACATAAAACTACTATTTAACTTTATGACTTGCATATAGTGTGTTTAAATATATCTTGGTCAGTAGAAAAACTGAAACAAACTTGTTCAATATTTTTCATAAAACTATTGAATCATGTTAAAATTAATTTAACCCTTAGCATCTCTGGATTTGAAATAAGTAAATTTAAAACTTCATTTTAAAAGTAGCTTTTTACTTTTATCGTTTTTAAAAATATTATTAATTCAAAGCTTAAAGAAGTTGAATAAGCGAAAAATTTATTATTTGTCAAACTAATCATAGATTTTTTTTTTTTTTTGTGCAAAATTGATATTTTTTCTGAGGTAAGCAAAATTATATGTACATTTCCATTTAACTCCTAAATTTTTAAGACAACTTTTTAATACTAAAATCATTGTATTCTAAAAAAAATAATTGGCTTTTAGATTTACTTTCATTAAAGTCAATATGTGACCAATTTATTATTATTATTTTTTAAATGTTTTGAAACTATTTTTCCAAATTGAAGCTTTCCCCCATATCATCCATAGGATGTAAACAGTCTAAAAAGGGATTAACTTTAGCAATATTAAACTTTTACTTTTATTACAATGAAAATCTACTGTTCTAGATTTTTTTAAACTACTTTTATGTGTGTGTAAATTTTTTTCCCTGCTTTGTATTTGAGCTTGTAATTACTTTAGCAACTCAATATTTAGATGTAAATTCATGTGGTTCTTCCTATTTTTACATTTTCCACTCTATGTTCTAACATAATTTAGATTTTATACAACTGACTATTTACTTTTTTGAAGATATAATTGTTTACTTGCTCTTCAAGTAATTTTTCAATCAATACTGTCTAAATATGTTGAAAAATAATTGCTTTGGCCATAATCAGTGAGCTTATTATTTTGGACATAGCTCAGAATTCAAGTTTAAGAGATTAAACAAATCACAAAATGCTCTTTTTTGGTGTGAAACCCATATTCTAACAACTAATCTTTTAAACACTAAGTATGCACAACCCTTCGAAAATGGAAGAGACACTTTCACTTAGTGACATTTTCTTAAATTTTTAAGAAATACTGAGAGAATCATTTTAAAACTTTAGAGGTGTTTAGATCATATGATTACTTATTAATCAATTTCATAGTTTTAAGGGACTGGTAATAAATTAAGAACTTGAGCAAGCATTTTCAAGCAACCTGTGCCAGAAAATATACTATTAAACTTGTATCGATTGCTTAGCTTAAATATTTATGGAGTTGTGAACATTTTTAAAAAAACAAATTTTGTTGTCTTATGTTATTTGCTCTAACTTAAATTTTATAAATGTTTTTAAATAACTATAACTTATACAAAAATAATCAACAAATCTTTTGGAAAAGTTTGCAATTGACAACAAAATTATTTAAAAATTATCATAACATTTAAAGTAGTTTTATTATAGTTTGCATACGTGGAAAACAAAATTTTTTTTTCCTTCATAATTATTCAGTGAAAATGTCCGATTTGAATATCTTGAAAATTTATAGAGTTTTTAGCAATTTTCTAAGTAGTTTTTGTTCTTTTTTTTAAAAAGGGGTTTTTCACAAATTTTATTTTGAAAAATTAAAAATGACATCTGATAGTGGGTGATCATCCCCTCATAACAATGTTTTCTTTTACATGTTTTTTCCCCATATACCATTATATTTTGGTGTATGGATGATATTGAAAGCTGTTATCATTGTTATTAACTTTATTGGAAAACCCTTATCATTTAGAGATTTTTTTTAAGAAAAAGTACAAAACTAAGAAAATTGCTAGAAACTTTTTAAATTTTCACGTTATTCAAATCAGACTTTTTCATTAGTTTCAACAAAATTATGAAATTTTTTTTTCCGCTTATGCATACTATGAAAGACCTAGGGTGACCCGGGGTAATTCTTGATCAAAAAAAGCAAACATCTATTTTGTGAAAAAACTATTCAAGATAGAATTTTAATATTTACTGGAAGTTTGAGGCTATATGAGATGAGTCCTATGCCTCCTTCTTTTGTTTGAAAATCTAATTAGANATCATGCAATAATAATGTTATGAATATATATAATGGAAAGTTGTTCCAAAAATTTTGTCTAGAGTTTTTAAAGTTATAGCAAAACAAAAAAAAAGTTTATATCATTTTAAATGTTTGAGCTAGTTTTGCAAAATTGTGTGCAATTGCAAATAGTAACCAAAGTAAGCAATATTAGTTACAAGCTTATTACTATATTTTCTGGCATAGGGTGTTCACAAAAATTTATTTTTGTTTGTAGCCTTGTTTTAAAACTTATAGTCAATGTACTCATGCAATTTCTCATACTTATCAATGAGTATTTCTTGCGAAATTTAAAAAAAAAGTCAAATGCTGAAAGTGTCTCTTCCATTAATGTAGGGTAGCGTGTTAGCACTATATGTTATGATGCAAAGGTTCAGATTTCGGGGTCAGGTTAACCGGGTACATTACAAATATAACCAGGCATGGGATTCTTCCACAAATTCCCGAACCTCAAGTCCATTGATTTGTACAGTTCTGCTAATTTAAATTTCATTACAAAAATATATATACTGCCTTTATCAACACTCTCTTTTTCTTTCTAAGTTCCCATTCAGTGCAATAACTATTTTTTTTTTCATACTAATGTGTAATAGAAAATACAACTTTGGATAGCCTTTGAGCTAATATAAAAGAGCAAGAAAATAATTCCACTATAAGTGCAGCTAGAATTAATGAACTAATGAGGCAAATGAAAACTCACTGATAATTTAAAAAGTAATTCCAAATTGGCAAATGTGTAAAAGATTGCTCGCTCAAAAAAATTGTTTTTTCTTTTAAACTTATGTATTAATTATAGAATTTTTGTAAAAGTAGAATTATTTAATCAATGTAATATATATGGCCCTTTTCTTATTTGGGTACAATTAGATACAGTTAATTTTTAATATGATCTTACGATATGTAAAATTTGAATCCCTCGTGTCAATGCGCCATACTAGTGTAAATTAGTGTTTCGATCTATTTTTCTTTCCCTTTGCATTTGATTTTCTCATGGTTAAATTCCGATATTAGTATGACACACAAAATTTAAATCACGCATTTCAGTAATAAATTTGTGATGCATTCGATTTGTGTAAATCCATGCAGGACTGCCTCGAAAGAAGGAGTGGTAGAGGCGGCCCTGATCTATGTGGTGATTTGATCGTTTATTATTGCTATGAATTTTCTCTGTTTTTTTAAAACATCTCTGCATAACTGTGCATTATTACGACATGCAGAATTCAATTCTGGCATTTATTAGTAGCTTATAACAGAATGATACACCTGTTTTTTCCATCGTTTTTTTTGTTGCTGATATCCACATGAATTTTTAAATCCCGATATTTTCATATGATATTTAAAAACGAGAAATTCGGATCACAGATTTGAGTAATCACATTCTGACGCAGCACTAGATTTGCCCAAACTCCATGCAGCTTTCGATCCTTTTTTTTTTTCAGTTATTGCTGTTGAGTTTTCACGTGATTTTTTTTTAAAAATCTCATTATTATGATACGGAAAATTTAAGTCCTGAATTTGAATATTTCTATTTGACAGGTTTATTCTATGAGTTTTTCAATGAATTGTTTTGGCAGTTATCGCTTCTGGTTTTTGCATATTTCTTACAACACTGGAATCTCGAAACTTACATTTAATTTACCCTTTTTAAAGTGTACCATTTCTGTGATTTAGCTGTAAATAAATGTCTAATAATAACTAATAGTGTAAATTATATAATATAGTCTAAATAAACATCATCAATCTTTTTTCAGTTATTGCAGTGGATTTCAGTTTTTCAAAAAATTATGTGATGATGTAATGTTAAATGAGGAATATGTAATTTTTTTAATGCTTATATGTATGTATATTTTATGTGTTGATGGGAAAAATTATTAAATACAAATTTTTCTCTTTAAATGTTATGTGAAATGCTATGAAACAAAATAAAACCAAACATTGCAAAAAAAAATTGAGATAATTTTTTCTAGCAATCACATGTCTGTCTTTTGCAGGATCTTACTTTCTAGGACGATATTTTAAGTTATGAAATCTGACACAAAAATGTACTTTCTCTGAATAAATGTCCAAAATATAGGAGGTAACGATAATCTGTCAAATATGGTCCCTATAGTTTGATCAGGAAAGTGGTTCAAAGTTTAGACCCCTTAATGATACATTTACTTTTTGTCTATTTCTCTATATCTTGAGAACTTTTTAAGTGAATTAAAAATTTTTTGCCCTCAATTATAAAATTCGTTTATCCAAAGATCATTTCATGTAAAAAATAACTTTTAGTAGATAATTATTATTTTATTTAATAGTTGTAAAAAGTTTGAATTTTAAGGTATACATTTCTTACACCATTTTAATGTATGTAATTTTACATGGAAAAATACAAAATTTGAGCAAAATCTGTTGAATATGTCCTGAGAAATGGACCCTGCTATTTTAAATATAAGTATTCTTTAAAGTTGCATTTTTCAGCAAAAATTAAGTTAAAGTTGCATATAAATTTTTTTTGACCATTTAATAAAAAAAATAAAATAAATATTTGCTGAAATATTTTATTTTTTGCATGGAATTATCTTTGGATAAACAAATTTTATTATTGTGTGTAAAATTTTTTCAATTGGCTTAAAAAGTTCTAGTGATTTGGAAAACTCTGCAAAAAATAATTTATCGTTAAGGGTTCCAAACTTTGGATTGCTTTCCTGACCAAATTTCCCAGATTGCAGCTACTCTTTATATTTTGGAGGCCAGAAATCCAAGTCTGTTGAAAAAAAAGGTATGTTTATTCAGAGAAATTAAGTTTTTTTAAAATTTCGTTACATAAATTTAGTCTGATCTAATTAGCATACTTGAGGTCACCCCCTCGAACCATTGAGAATGAGTCCTAGAATGTGAAGATCCTATCATTAGATCAAAAGTTATTCAGGGTAGTCCGTTTTTTTCCCCTCTTTCAGCTCACTGTACAGATGTTAAAAGTAAAAGACTGACAAATATTGAGAACTTGAGAGAAAAGACTGACATTTTCACTTAACTTAAAGCTTGTGTCTAATTATTAACTAAGATTTTAAATTGTGAAAATAATTTAGCAGTAGACATATTT